GGTCACCATGACAAGGTCTTGCAGGCCGGCTTGAACGCGCTCTTGAGGATGCCGCCGTAACTGGGGCAGTCTCGCTCGCTCTTGGTGGCTTCGGCTCGATCCTTGTTCCATCTCGCCAGGCCCTCCAGCAGGTACATCTGATAGTGCACGTTACTAGCACTAGTACCTGTAAGGAAATAAACAGAGTCAGAAACAACATCGACTTGTAAGCGAACAGACAGTGCAAACGTGTACAACTGCAAACACAAACACGCACTTGTGCTATGCATTTACCATTACAGACCGTAAAACGAGTCGCTGCGTCAAGAACCACACACACACACACACACACACACACACACATGCACTACTAGTACATAATGATTACCTGGTATGAACCTGGCGATGTGGAGGTGGAAGGATTCGAGACTCGTCGAACCTCGAGCACGCCCCCCTGACGCGGGTCCCAGTCTGTGTGTACAGCGGGATATTCGCAGGTTCCTGCAGGCATGCCACGTGTCGCTTCTGCAATTCCCAGAGCGCCGGAATGCGCTCCACATCGAGAAGCGGTGTGCCCATGTTGTCACGTCCCTGATTACCCGAGAACGCATCCAGCAACTCCCCGATCAGCCGCGTAGACTCCGCGGCGCCGCGGGTCTTGCGCCGGCAGTGAAACGCAAGCTCCTTCTTGGAGAGTTGCCGGATGAGGTCGTCTTCCGACGGGTCCTCCCCGTGCCGAGCGAGCAGTTCGGACAGCTTGGCATCTTTCAACGCCTGCACGTCCTCCCCACTCCACTCGAAGATGCACACAGAGAGCCGGCTCATGAAGACTCCGTAGAGCGGGTGTGCCTCCGTCGTGCAGCCGGCGGCCAAACGGCTCATGAAATGCCACACATCAAGGCGAACGATGAGGTCTGGCCAGGCAGCGAACATCCCGCCAGTCAGGCTCCCATCGCAACAACCACAGTCCACGTAAAGGACTTCTGCAGGTGCAATACCTGCAGAGGAGTAGCGTTTGACAATGCCACTCACCATGGGTGCGAGACCACATCCTTCCCCGGTGGTCAGAACGCTGTTCAAAACCTGGCCATACTCGTTGCCGATGTGTGTGACTCACGCCGCCGTTCCGGCCGCGCGACCGTCCAGTTTCCGCACCACCTAGAATACGTAGAAAATACGCAACAGTTACTCAGTGCTACTATGACGCAAATAACAATAATATACACAAACAACCTGTGAACGACAAAGGAAATACTCGAAGATAAATTTTGCATTAATCACCTTCTTAGTAGATTGGTTCACTGATTTTGCATTAATCACCTTCTTAGGGCCTGGTTCACTGGTTCTAGCCCAGTGGAAGTGGACCTCAGGATTACAGGCTTGGTATCAATCCATCGGAGACAAACTATGTTACTTTCTTTCTCAACGCGGCAGTCATAGGTTCCTCGCCCTCGTTTGGTCATAGCTTTTTCCCCCTCCAATGGACATTTTGACAGTCGATTCTTTCGCACGGTTCCGGTGTATTGGAAGCCATCCTCAAGCAGCTTCTCAATCGGTGCCATTGAAGTGAAAAGTTATCCGCGTATATCTTGTAGTT